GCACCTCGGATTTGTAAACGCCTGCCTTCCACTCTGGTGTTGCTACAAGGAGTTCAGAAGCTTTCACTTCTGATTTAGATTAACTGCCTGCAAGAACACTGCGATTTACTTAATGTAATGCTACTCAAAAGTGGTGGCGAGTTTCCTCGAAAGTATACAATCGTAACGCGGCACAAAGAAGGTACTACTAACCTTTGGCATAAAGGGAAAAACAAACAACTATTTCAGACAGCTTGAGAAGCACTGGTTTAAAACACAATGTCAGACACTGTTTGGTCCCACATCGATGGATGGATGAATTCATTCTGAATTGTAGTTTTTTGCTTTCAAAAGGTTGAATATCTTTTATGTATAGAAAAGTCATACAGTGTGTATGCTTGCTTGTTGGCTTCTAAATGGCTTGATAGAGCCAGTCCAAACTTATACATGTAATAATAGAGCCTTCTCTGTGGTGGCCCCTCGGCTGTGGAACTCCTTGCCTAGGGATATTAGATCAGCCCCCTCCCTCCTGACCTTTCGTAAGAGAGTGAAAACCTGGCTCTTCGAGCAGGCATTCGGAACCCCGGAATAGATAGTCAAGCTTGAGATGGAGAATGACCCAGGAATGCCCAAGACGATGAAATGGACGAGGATTGGAATGAGAGGATATAGCTCTTTTTAAATTGTTATTGCACTGTATTGCACTGTCTTTTTTTTTCTAATTGCACTTAACTGTTTTTACTTTTGTATTGTATTGATGGCATCGAATTGTGCCGATATGTAGACTGCCCTGAGTCGCCTGCGGGCTGATATGGGCGGGATATAAGTGACGTAAATAAATAAATAATAAATAATAACAATATTATATTTATATTCCGTGGAGTCCCCAGTGGCGGAATGGGTCAAACCCTTGTGCCGGCAGGACTAAAGACCGACAGGTCGCAGGTTCGAATCTGGGGAGAGGCGGATGAGCTCCCTCTATCAGCTCCAGCTCCTCATGCAGGGACATGAGAGAAGCCTCCCACAAGGTTGATAAAAACATCAAATCATCCAGGCGTCCCCTGGGCAACGTCCTTACAGACGGCCAATTCTCTCACACCAGAAGTGACAGGTCGCAGGTTCGAATCTGGGGAGAGGCGGATGAGCTCCGTCTGTCAGCTCTAGTTCCCCATGCGGGGACATGATGGAAGCCGCCCAAAAGGATGGTAAAACATCAACATCCAGGTGTCCCCTGGGCAATGTCCTTGCAGACAGCCAATTCTCTCACACCAGACGCAACTTTCTAAGTTGCTCCTGATACAAAAAGAAAATCCTCCCTTTCTCCCCGAGGGGACTCAGGGCGGATTATAGTGCACATATACGGTAAGCAATCTATGTCATTATACAATTAACAAAGATAGACAGAACATAAACAGAGGTAAAGGTTTCCCATCTTTTTTTGCATCTCTGGCATCTGGAGGATGTGCTTGACTCTAGCCACAGTGTGTGTCTGTGTGCTGTCGGTCCATCTTCCATGCTGAGGAGCTTTGTTGTCCTTAGATGCTCTCCAGATTGCATCGCCGGCATGTCTGCATGGGCAACTTTTATTACCTCCCCACCAAAGCATTACCTATTTATCTACTCACATTGCTGTTTTCGAACTGCTAGATGAGCAGAAGCTGGGCTGACAGTGGGAACTCACTCCAAACCGGGCTTGACCTGTCGACCTTTCGATCGGCAAGATTTTCTGCAGCTGGCAGTTTAAACCACTGTGCTAAAGCCCGGCCCTTCATTATGCAATTTAAAATAATGTATTGAACTAAAAGAAACACCCTTTACACTCTCTGTCAATAAAATAGATTCAACACCTTGAACAGGTTCTTTAAGATATGGAGTAAAACCTGGAATGAATTTACTGCTCCATCAACATGGGAGCCAATACTCCAGAAGACTGGAGCAGAATTCAAAATGATCTGAACAGATTGGAGAGATGATTGGCCAAAACGAACAAAATGAAGTTCAACAGGGACAAACGCAAGATACTCCACGTAGGCAGAAAAACGGAGAGGCAAAGATACAGAATGGGGGACGCCTGGCTCGAGAGCAGTACATGTGAAAAGATCTTGGAGGCCTCATGGGGTAGGAAAGTGAACATGAGTCAACAATGTAATGCGGCAGCTTAACAAGCCAATGAGATTTTGGCCTGGATAAATAGGAGCATAGTGTCTAGATCCAGGGAAGTCATGCTATCCCTCTCTTCTGCCTTGGTCAGACCACACCTGGAATACTGTGCCCAATTCTGGGCACCAGAATTGAAAGGAGATATTGACAAGTTGGAATGTGTCCAGAGGAGGGCGACCAAAATGATCAAGGGTCTGGAGGACAAGCCCTATGAGGAGCAGCTTCAAGAGCTGGGCATGCTTAGCCTGAAGAAGAGAAGACAGAGAGGACACATGATAGCCATGTATAAATATGTGAGAGGAAGCCACAGGGAGGAGGGAGCAAGCTTGTTTTCTGCTGCCCTGGAGACCAGGACGCAATGAAGCATTGGTTTCAAATTACAGAAAAGGTTATTCCACCTAAACATTAGGAAGAACTTCCTGACTGTGAAAGCTGTTCATTAGTGGAACGCTCTTTCTCCCCCAGATGTGGTGGAGCCTCCTTCTTTGGAGACTTTTAAAGCAGAGGCTGGATGGCCATCTGTCAGGGGTGCTTTGAATGTGATTTTCTGGCTTCTTGGCAGAATGGGGTTGGATTGGATGGCCCACGACGTCTCTTCCAACTCAATGATTCAAGGCATTGAACCAAGTGCCTGTTAGGATACATACTCTACACTTAATAAATCCTGTTTATTTCTTTATATTCTCTTTTATTATGTACTAGCTTGGGTACCCAGCAATGCCCGGGTTATTTGCCCGTTTATAATTTGCACAATTTGTTCATAGTAATTTCCACTAGAATGGATAAGTTTCTAATTAAGATCAGAAAATCAGTTGACAATGTTTGTGATTAATGATGTGGAGGGACTATAGAGCATGGGCAAACTTTGACCCTCCAGGTGTTTCGGATTTCAACTCCCACAATTCCTAATAGCCTACTGGCTGTTAGGAATTGTGGGAGTTGAAGTCCAAAACACATGGAGGGTCGAAGTTTGCCCATGCCTGCTATAGAGAAAACTACAACTGTAGTACATCAGAAGTATAAAGGAAAAAAATTCCAAACCTCGTTTATGTAGTAAAGATTATATGAAACTTCTATATAAATTATATGTGATATGCTAGATGTATTATATAAAACTCTTACAAGGACTTGGTTTAACCTCTGGCTTGCTAGTAAAACTGAATGACCGTGTCGCAAAAGGATGCATGTCTAAGAGTGTGTTCCTGTTGGTTCTCTTGAACCTCTCAGCAGCCTTCGATATCATTGACCACAGTATCCTTCTGGGATGCCTCGCGGGAATGGGTCTCAGAGATAATGTTTTGCAGTGGCTCCAATCCTTTCTGGAGGGCCGTTCCCAGGCGTTGTTGGGGAACACCTGCTCGGCCCCACAACCATTGTCCTTTGGGGTCCTGCAAGGCTCGGTATTGTCTCCCATGTTGTTTAACATCTACATGAAGCCATTGGGAGAGATCATCTAGAGTTTTGGAGTTCGTTGTCATTTGTATACAACTCTACCACTCCTTTCCACCTGCTACTAAGGAAGCTGTTCAGGTTCTGAACCGGTGCTTGGCAGCTGTGACAGTCTGGATGAGGGCAAACAAATTGAAACTGAATCCATACAAGACAGAGGTTCTCCTGGTCAGTCGCAAGGCCGAACAGGGTATAGGGTTACAGCCTGTGCTGGATGGGGTTACCCTCTCTCTGAATGCACAGGTTCACAACTTGGGAGTGATCTTGGATTCATCACTGAGCCTGGAAGTCCAAGATTCAGTGGTGGCCAAGGGAGCTTTTGCACAATTAAAGCTTGTGCGGCAGTTACATCTGTACTTTGGGAAGTCTGACTTGGAAATGGTGGTCCACGTTCTTGTTACATCGAGAATAGACATGGGGTAGACTTTGAAGACTGCTTGGAAGCTTCAAATGATCCAACGGGCAGCAGCCAGGTTTCTCACCGGAGCGGCATAACTCCCCTGTTATGCCAGCTCCACTGGCTGCCAGACTGCTACCGAGCACAATTCAAAGTGCTGTCTTTATCCTACAAAGCGCTATACGATTTCAGCCCAGCTTACCTGTACGAACGTATCTCCCCCTATGAACCATCACGGAGGTTAAGATCTTCTGGGGAGGCCCTGCTCTCAGTCCCACCTGCTTTGCAAGTGCGGTTGGTGGGAATGAGACAGGGCCTTCTCAGTGGTGGCTCCTCCACTCTGGAACCCTTTTCCCAGTAAGATTAGATCAGCACCCTCCCTCCTGGCCTTTAGAAAGATAACAAAGACATGATTATGGAACCAAGCTTTTGACTAGTAAAGTAATGCAGTAGAAGACGTAGATATGGAATATGTGCAATCGACATCTGGAATGGCCTAGTCTACAAGTTTGGATCATGTGATTTTAATGTTTTTATTAGGTGTTTTTAATTTTTATACTTCATATTTAAATGTCCTCTTATTTTATGGAGAATTTGTCCTATTGTATTTTTAATGCTAGTCATATGTTGTTTGATTTATGATTTGGTGTATGTATGTAAGGCATTGAATTTCGCCATTATTTTTGTAAACCACTTTGAGTCTCCCCAGGGTGAGAAAAGCAGTATATAAATAGAATAAATAAAATAAATAAAAAGCGTGTCACTAATAGGAAAAGTTTGTAAAATTCTGGGTTAAGAGAGAGGTTGTGCCTGCGAATCTATGTTGATTGGGGCGGGGGATCACTAGTCCAATTGCAACCTCTTCATTCTCCCCCCAACCCATTTTCCCCCGCTATTCACTTACAAAACCTTCCAAAATCCCATGTTTACATTTTAATCAGATGTGATGGAGAGAAATGGCTCTTCAAGCACTAATTCCTTCCATGGTTGAAATAAAAGAGGCCGGCAGAAAATGCAAAAGTATAGTATAATCGTGTTACACAAAACAGCAATTTCTAATGAAAATAGCACTCTTATTCATTAAAAAAATCAACACAAGCATTCATTTTGAGGGACACAAATCATCACAACAGCAGCATTTGAGAGATATTCACATGTTTGTTGAGGGTTGTGCACTTGACTGAGATGGAAAAAGGGCTCAAGTGGCAGCAAAGTACAGCCTGACGAGACCTGTACAAATATGCTACCCATCCCTCTTCCACCCACGCAAGTAGGAATATGGCTATCAAAATGCTTGGAGAAGGAATGTGGTTGTTATTTCATGCACTAAAAGCGTGAGCATTACTCCCAAGTTCAGGTGGCTTTGGGGTATGAGATATTCCAGTATTCCCAGTCAGCCTGCTGCCTGTGGATACTGGGAGTTGTGTTCTCCAAGAGCCTGCTTCCCTGGTACTAGGCTGGAGACCAAACCAGGTCTTTCCATTCAACTCTCTGAATGCTTTCAGGGGTAATGGCAAGACATTTCTTCTGTATTGTGCATCCATTTATTTCGACCACAAACTATGTGGTAAAGAGCACTTTTTTCCAAAAAGCTGCGCAACTGCAACCTATGTTCATTCATCCAGGATGGAGGAGAGTGATGAGCTCACAAGGCACAATACTAAGGTGCATTTGAACCCCCCAGAGAGGGTTTCTGTTAAGTGCTTTCAAATTGCTCCAACTTAGTAGCAATCCTATTCTAGAATTTCCTTGGCAAGGTTCATTCAGAGCTTTGTCTTGCCTTCCTCTGAGGCTCAGGTAAGTGCAGTTCAAGTTGCAGTTGCTCCCCATGCCCTCTTTGCCATTAATAATATCCCAAAGGCACATTTGGTCTATGCTGGATATACAAGAGGTAGTAGGCATGTGCGATCCAAAAAAAAAAAAGACTCTAAAGTGTGTTCAAAAGTAGGGGGCGCTGGCATTTCGTTTCTCAAGTCCTTTCTGAATTTTTGGGGTAAACATTTCAAAACTTTACGAAACTTAATAAGCACTTTGTTAATGGCACTTGCAAAAGTGCAACAGAGAAAACATCACTGGCTGTGGGCAAATTCAGGGGCTTTTCTTTCTCTCATTGTTTGAGATATCCCTGTGAAACTTGCTACAGTGGTAGAACACATTTACCACTGTTAAGCCCATCAAATTTCAGAATGTTTGACTTATTCATGGGTTTTTTTGTGATTTTTAAAAGTTTTTAAAAACAGATTTATAAAAACTACAAGACCGATCTCCTTGATGTTTCTATCCAATGACACAAGATAACAGGGGATCACCCCCCCCCCCACAATTTTCAGAAATATGAATATATCTACTGATTTAAGGAATTCTTTAAAAAGTTTTCTGAAAAACTACCTAAGGGGAAGGGATAATTTTCTCTCTTCTCTCCTGATTGGTGCATTCTCCTCCTGAGGCATACTGGGTAATGTAGTTTATGGCAGGGCCTTTTGCAATCTCTACCATTGGGGGCATGGTCTTCCCAAATACAGTTAAGATGGCTGTGATTAGCCATGCTCACAGCACCTCCCTTATGGCAGCGCTGGCGGAGATGGGGTTAAAGATTTTAAAAGCAGCTTTATCAACGTTGCTTAATGGTTATAGTGAAAATTAAACATTTAGTTGGGAGACAACTAAATGTTACAGAATATTTATGAAAAAATGGTGATTTAAATTCTAAATTCTTCCCTCACCTTTTTGCATGCCTTGAAACTCACCTTCATATGTTCAAATTTAACAAAACAGATACAAGTTCCGATCAAATCTGAAATTTTGTGCAAGCCATCGCAGGAGATTACACTATGTGGTTGTGTGCATGTCCACAAACATCTGGAGGTCATGGGACGAAGGAGAATGAAAGAAGACCAGAACATCTCGAACCAAGTTATAAAAGTGGTTGAAAAATGCAAAGGCAGGGAATTTTTTTATAGAACAGTGACCATTTGGGGCCCTTTCACATGAAACACTGGCAAAGACGCAACATTCAGTGGGAAATTTAATCTGCTTTCCCCTGCAATCACTTCACCTCTCTCTCCGTTTAAACCTAACTTTTTGGCTTGTCAAAAATCTCCATGACTTGTATCCATTTGCACAATAGGTTTTACATTTTTCCCCTGTCTCACTAGTGGGAATGTTTTGCATAGCTTTCCACCCATTTGAGGATATTTTATTTATTTTGTATCAAAAGAATTGCATAAATTAGTATAAAGCTGATAAAAATAGAAGGAACGCAGGCGGCTAAATATCTTTTGACCAAAAACGGGCATTGTCTGTAGCCTCCAACAATACTTCCTCTGTACATGAGGCAGGACATAGTGGATAAGCATACAGATGCGGAGTTGTCTGTTCTGCTCCACAGTCGCACAAGGTGTGGGATTCTTTTAAGTAGTGCCATTTTGCCAGGTTGTCTTTTGAACTGCCCACTCCACTTCTGAGTCTGTTCAGAGACTTCCAAGTTGTCCATTCTTGGTTTGCCCCTCATGGGGGCCATCCAACTGGGGTTTCCTGATTTAGCTGCCCAGAGGGATACCCTTGCTATTGCTGAGTGGGAGTGGTAGTTCTCATAAAGCTTTTCCTTGATTTGAGTCTACTGGGAGGAGGCTGGTAGCCATGTAGTGGGTGGCTTTCACAGTGTTCAACCTTATTTCTCTCACATTTAGCAGTAACTTCCCGTTGCACATGGGGGGGGGGGGGCAATGCCAACTAGCTTGTAGAGTTTATCAACAAGTGTAGGTTTAAGACATCCTGTGATTATTCTGCATTTTTCATTCAATGCTATGTTCACCTGCTTTGCATGGGCAGACCTATGCCAAACATGGCAGACATACTCGGCAGTTGAGTAAGACAAGGCCAGGGTCGATGTTCTTACAAATTTTGGATCTGCACCCCATGTACTGCCAGTAAGTTTCCGCAGGATGTTATTCTGTGCAGCTACTTTGTGCTTGGTGTTCAAGCAGTGTTTCCTATATGCTAGTATTTGATCTAAGGTGACACCGAGATATTTAGGATGGAAACAATGTTCAAGCTCTTGACCTTCCCAGGTGACTTTCAATTTCCTGTTGGCTTCACGGTTGCGTAGCTGGAAAGCACACACTTGTGTCTTGGCAGGGTTAGGCTTCAGCTGGTTATCTTTGCAGTAGCTGGAGAGATCTTTCAAGGCAACAGTAAGTTGGATTTCAACTGTTTCAAAGTCTTTTGCTTGTGTTGTTAGGCCAAGGTCACCAGCACATATAAAGCTCTTTGTGAGTGGTGGTTGTGAAGGCAAATGAAGGCCGGGGGGGGGGGGGGGTCTTGTCCAGGAATTGACCCAATTCAGCCCTCCAGATATGGACTTCAATTCAGAAAAAACAGAGGTGTTTGCCATCAAGGGTCCTCCTCTGGGGATGGAGGTGTGTCAACCAGTTATTCTGTGCAGCTACTTTGTGCTTGGTGTTCAAGCAGTGCTTCCTATATGCTAGTGTTCAATCTAAGGTGATACTGAGATATTTTAAACCCATTCTGGAATGTATTTATAGGAATGCTTGGGGTCTTTTTTCCTATATATACATCTCTCAATTCCTTTCTAGTGAAGAGGTCAATAGATTGTTGCCTCTATGCAGTGTCTTGAGCCTCGTGCATGGAATGTACAACAGAGTAGACATTTTAAAAATTGGCAAGAAGACAAAATTATGACGTCTTCAACTTGTGTAACACCAATAATTCAAAAAGGGGCCGTGATTCCAGAGGCGGGAAGGCAAAGAAGCCAAAGGCTACCACAACAGACTTCTGGCCCTTTCCATTTTGGTGGGATCTTGTGCAAAATTGCTTGAGGACCGTCCACTCCCCTGACACCACCAAGACCACAATCCTTATTGCAATTCCCCTAAATAATCTCAGAGAAGCATACACAGCAGATCATAATAACTGGTGGAAAGATGACTCTGTTTAGGGAAGCATCTCAGCAAAAAATCTCCCTGGAAGTGTGAGCCAGTACTGAGCCTGGACAGTGATTATATAAGTACAAGATGGTCATCTTGGGGGAACACAGTTGTCCAAAAGCACTGGCAGGAAGAGTATTTTTGTGTCTAGAGGCTGGACTTTTGCAGAGGACTATCTGGAACAATGCAGTCACCGATTCCTTCTAGAAGAGGATCCCACTGGTCAAAATCTTCTTTCAGCTCTATGGGAAAAGGGGGAGAATTATTACATAAAATGTAACTGCTGGCAAGGTTCCATTATGAACATTAATAGTAACAAGATGTCCGTTGGTCTTATCGTTGCAGAGAGAAAGGGGCATAATGGAAAAATAGCAATGAAGATTCGCTAGGAGATCTGCCAGAAACTGCCCAGCGCTCCATCCGTGGCCTCAGAAAGGGAAGATTCCTTGGAAGGAAAGGGTTCTTGTAAATAATGCCAGAGGTCTTCCTCAAGGAGAAAACCTCTGACATTGTTCAACCATCTCAGACCACAAGTCTTCATTCTGGGCAAAGAAAATAACCATACTTTGTGCCTTCCTTGACAACTGCTCTGTTCTTCCCTGTTGGCCATGGGCTACCATTGATATTGACTGATTGGTACGGTTGTCCTGGGCCTCTTCTACATTGCCATATAAAATCCAGATTATCTGCTTTGAACTGGATTATATAATAATAGGTAAAGTGTTTCGCCTGACATTAAGTCCAGTTCTATCTGACTCTGGGGGTTGGTCCTCATCTCAATTTCTAAGCCGAAGAACCGGCGTTGTCCGAAGACACCTCCAAGGTCATGTAGCCAGCATGAGTGCATGGAGCACCATTATCTTCCCGCAGAAGTGGTACCTATTGATCTACTCACATATGCATGTTTTCGAACTGCCAGGTTGGCAGAAGCTGGGGCTAACCGTGAAAGCTTACCCCGCTCCCCAGATTTGAACCTGTAACCTTTAGGTCAACAAGTTATGCAGCTTAGCGGTTTAACCCACTGTGCCACTTGGGTTCCATATAATAATAATAATTCTTATAATTATAATAATAAATATGAGGATTTAAGGATTGAACTGCAAAGACTCTGGCACAAGCCAGTGATTGGCACACTGGGTGCAGTGCCTAAAGACCTTGGCCTGCACTTAAAAACAATCAGTACAGACAAAATTACTATTTGTCAGCTGTAAAGGTCACCCTACTTAAATCTGAACACATTATTCACTGATACATCACATAGTTCTAGACACTTGGGAAGTGTCCGACATATGATCAAATACAAAAGCTAGAATAGTGATCTTGTTTGCTGTGTACCAATCTTGTTATGTATCAAATAATAATAATAATAATAATAATAATAATAATAATAATAATATATCTTTATTTGTACCCTGCCACCATCTTCCCAAAGGGACTCGGGGCGGTTTACAGAAGCACTCCAAGTGCCACATACAGACAACAATACATAAATATAAATACAATGACGTACGTACAATCAACAGTGAATAAAAATCCCACTGATAATATTATAAAATTATAAAATTCCTAAACCGCAGTAGAACCTGCGGATAAGCCGACTATCAATATAAATAAAAAATCCTGGCTTCTACCAGCCAGCAGGAAACCTTTGGTGGGCGGAGTTCCCTAGCCCAGATTATTTCATGTCTGGAAATCTTCTGCTTTCTGAGGGCCACAGCAATGCATGGCCAGGTACAGCTAGTCTGTCATAACAATCAAAGTGTGGGAGAGTACTATTGATTCATCACATTGACCATAGATTACTCAGGATCAAAGGCCTGTCTGAAGAGCCATGTTTTTAGACTCACCTGGAATGCCTGAAGAGAGTGAGCTAATCTAATTTCTTTAGGGAGGGAATTCCAAAGCCGGGGAGCCACCATCAAGAAGGCCCTCTCTCTCATTCCCACCAACCTTACTTGAGATGGTGGTGGGACCGAGAGAAGGGATTTTCCAGCAGATCTTAATACCGGGGTGGTTTGTAGGAGATGCGATCTCGAAGATGGGTTTGACCCAAAGCATATAGGGCTTTATAGGTAATCACCTGCACATTGAACTGGGCCCGGAAACTCATCGGGAGCCAGTGGATCTGCTTTAAAAGGGGCATGGTATGCTCCCTAAAGCTCGCCCCAGTTAATAATCTGGCTGTGACCACATCAAGGCAGCCACTCTATACCCCGATCGGCCTTGTCACTGACCAGGAGGACCTCTGTCTTGTCTTGATTAAGCCTCAACTGGAAATCCAATCCATCACAGCTGTCAGGCACTGGTTTAGGATCCAAGGAGCAGTGTAGATTCCAGTTCAAAGCAGGTAATGTGGATTATCTGCTTTGATAAATTGGATAATATGGCAGTGCAGATCCAGTCCTGGATTGCCCCAATTTGATGGCTCACTCTTTAGTTTGGAAGTTGACACTTATTTAGATTACATACTCCATCAATTTAGTCTTTGCATTGTCTGGATCTTGCTCTGAGAGCCCACTCTGTTGGAGAAAGGATCGGAGTTTCTTCTGCTCAGTCAAATACAGTTGGCCGTACACACTTGTGGTCTTCATGCCTAAAATTTATATAGTCCCTCTAATAATAATAATAAAACTTTATTTATACCCCGCTACCATTTCCCCAAGGGACTCGGTGCGGCTTACATGAGGCCAAACCTACAATACATCAATAATACAAACAATAACAACAATAATACAAGCAATAATATAAAACTCATAACAAAAAAATAAGCAATAGACATTAACAGTAACACACCGACATTTAAAAACCTATGGCTGGGCCAAATGTAATAATTAATTTTTTTAAAAATAATGCTGAGCATGAACAAGTGAAATATAACTAGGATAGAGTTTTCAGAGAGGGATGGGGTGTGCAGACAATCCTAGATCATTAATAAGTGCATATAAGGACATATTGCTGGGAGATTTCTTATTCTGGGAAGGCACACTGGAACAACCACGTTTTCAGGCTCCTCCTAAGGATTCCTCTAGGATTCTCTACGTTATTCAGCACAACTGTATGGTAACTTTAATCGGAAGATGATTGTAAGATTGTGTTGTATCTTATTTCTGTTGTTTTGTATCTTATTTCGTTGTATTACTTTTGGGCTCGGCCTCATGTTAGCTGCCCCGCGTCCCCATTGGGGAGATGGTGGCGGGGTAAAAAAAGTTGTTTATTATTATTATGCTCAAGAATCTGGAGCAGAGGTTTCCAATCTGTGTGCCACAATATATTAATGTGTTGGCTGCAATGTGTAGGTGTGTCGCATGAACGGAGTGAGAACCCTTTGAGTCTGTGTGAAAATATGCAACAAATCAAATGTTTCAAGAATATATAAAAGTAAGGTTTTCATGAGATATGTTGTATCCTCACAGATTTTGTTATTATAATGTAAGTATGTGCCCATATTTCTCATAAGGGGTTGGTTTAACTTCTGGTTTGCGAGTGAAACTGAGGGTCTTTCCACACAGCCATATAAACCAGAATATCAAGGCGGATAATCCACAATATCTGCTTAGAACTGGAATATCAGAGTCCACACTGCCAGAGTCTACAAATAATCCAGCTCAACGTGGATTTATACCGCTGTGTGTGGAGGGTCTATTATCCTTGATTCAAGGAACCAGATTTGTAGAGAGATGAGAGATTCTAAGACTGAAAGTGTCCTTTCAATCATTCCTGTTCCTCATAACGTCAACACTTGGGAGTTTTCTAACTTTTATGTGGGGTTTCTCCCATTTGAAAAGGTTGGAATGTTTTTTTGGTCTCTATCTTTGTCCCTACCCAGCTCTGCAACTCAGCCTCCAAGAAATGTCTTAAGATGGACTTTGGTGCTTGGGCTCAAAGATGTTCTCCACCTCTGCCTTGAAGCTGCTATCACGATCTTCCTGGAAGGCTAGATATCAAGGCATTATTCTAACATTTAATTGCTTTTGAACAATTCCAGAAAGGTCCCCCTCTTAAATGGTCCTGGAGCATGGGACTTACGGAGATGTTTCTGCAAGAAAGCAAGAGCGGCTTGGTTGGTAATTCGGAGGCCTTCATAAGGATCAATGGTGCCTCTTGTTTGGAAGAGCCTGTTCACCAGATTCCCTGCCAGGAAAGTGAAGTCGGTCTGACTCTGGTGGACGCTGCCCCTAGGAAGAAGACAGAAAAATTCAGGAGAGACAAAGAGCACCACACCACACCAGGTTCCACATGGGCGCAACACAACACAAGTGACTTTTTGTTGAATTCCAGGGCCGGAGAAGCAGGTGGCAAAAACAGAAGAATGGCCTGTTTCAGGGGAGCATGCTTGCTCCATCAATGTTTACCATTTACACAGAAGGGACAGAAAGTTTCATCGATGCTGACGATTGTGCCATCACCACCCAAGCAGGAAGCTTTGAAATGGTTGAACAGAAGCTCTCTGAAGTTTGAGGTGCTCTTACTATTACAGGGAAAACTAGCTCATTCTTAATCCATCTAAAACCCAAATGTGTGCCTTTCATTTTAAGAAAAGACAAGCATCTCGAGCTCTGAGGATTACCTGGGAAGGAATTCCACTGGAGCATTGCAGCACACCAAAATACCTGGACTGTGCTCTGACTTACAAGACGCACTACTTGACTGTCAAACAAAAAGTTGGTGCTACAAATAATATCATACAAAAACTGACTGGCGCAACCTGGGGATCACAACCAGACAAAGTGAAGACATCTGCCCTTGTGCCTGGCTACTGTGCTGCTGAATATGCATGCCCAGTGTGGAACACATCTCACCATGTTAAAACAGTGCCTTTTAATGAAAAATGACGCATTATCGCAGGATGTCTATGCATCACACCACTGGAGAAATTATACTGTTTAGCTGGTATTGCACCACCTGATATCCGCCGGAAAGTAGCAGTCAATAATGAAAGGACCAAGGCAGTGACATCTCTGGCCTGTTCCCTGTTCAGATATCAGCCAACATGCCAACAGCTTGAATCAAGAAACAGTTTCCTAAGTTCAAGAGAGATACTCACAGGAATGGCCCAGCAAGCGAGAGTCCAAAAGTGGCAGGCTAAAACCCAGAAACTCAATCAGTGGCTAATACTAAATGAGAGACTCCCCCCTGGGCACACAGAAGGCTGGGCATTTTGAAAGGTGCTGAACAGACTGCGCTCTGGCACCACGAGATACAGAGCCAACCTTAAGAAATGGGGTCACAAAGTGGAGTCCACAACATGCGAGTGTGGAGAAGAGCAAGGATAAGCTCTTCTCAAGAAGATCATATTTTACAAAAGGTTACGATCTCTAACAAGGTCATGCCTTTCCAAAAGATTCCTGGTTTTCCCAAAAGGTTATGAATATCCATTTTCCAAAAGTTTGAGTGAGCATAGACTTACAGTATTGTTATAATCTTGCTCTCGTTGCTCGTGGCACTGATCTTCTTCATTTTGGTCACACTTTCAGGAGTCTGGAAGGATTCTGTGTTGACAAAGAGGACCGGTTTGGTCACTTTGGGATACAGGGAGTTCTCCAAGGGGAACATCCAGGCGTCGAGAGCAACAGCACACCTGCAGTAGGAGAAAGAAGAGGAGGGCAATGGGTACAGACTAGTCCAGGCATGTGCCAACTTGGGCCCTCCAGGTATTTTGGACTTCAACTCCCACAATTCCTAACAGCTACAGGGATAGTTGTAAGAAATGGATGTCTACTGAAACACTGCACAGAATTAGTATATACTGTATATACTCGAGTATAAGCCTAGTTTAGGCTGAAAAAGCTCCCCTCGGCTTATACTCGAGTCAAGGTTATTGATTATTTTACTCTATTGTTGTTGTTGTTGTTGTTGTTGTTGCATTTATAGGTTAGCTTTATTATTATTATTATTATTATTATTATTATTATTATTATTATTATTTATTATTTATTATTTTTATTATTATTACATTTATTATTTTACTCTATTATTATTGTAAGGATAAGTAAACACATGTACATTGATTATGGATAGAATAATGGTTTAAGTCAGAGTTGGACAGTCTTATCTTAGAGTTTTATGTAAATATTAATAAACATTCAACCTACTGATGCCTCAATTAATGTAATTTTATTGGTATCTATTTTTATTTTGAAACTGACCCATAGCTGCTGCATTTCCCATCCTCGGCATATACTCGAGTCAATAAATATTCCCAGTTTTTTGTGGTAAAATCAGGTGCCTCGGCTTATATTCGGGTCGGCTTATACTCGAGTATATACGGTATTTCATGGCCGAAATCACTAGGTTGTTGTGCATGTTCTGGGCTGTACGGCCATGTTCTAGAAGCATTCTCTCCTGACGTTTCGCCTGCATCTACCGCAGGCATCCTCAGAGGTTGTGAGTACAACCTCTGAGGATGCCTGCCATAGATGCAGGCGAAACATCAGGAGAGAATGCTTCTGGAGCATGGCCATATAGCCCGGAACATACACAACAACCCAGTATAGACGTTTATTCTGGTGGTGTCATTTGGTGTGTTTCACACGCCCTGAACGCCCCCCCCCCCCCATGATGCCACTGCAAAGGACACCTGTTTGGAAACATGTAACCTGGTGGGAATCTGGGGCTTTGACTACTGGCCAGTCCAGGCATGGGCCCACTTGGGCCCTCCAGGTGTTTTGGACTTCAACTCCCACAATTCCTAACAGCCGGTTTTGGGGTTGTTGTTCTTTAAAGAGAAGCTGAAAAGGCCTAATTGGACCTCCTTGTCCTGAAGAATACTCACTTGAACTGCGCTTCTTTGACCAGGGCGAGGACAGACGTTGCTCCTCCAAATGAGTGGCCCATGACAGCAACCTTGGTCAGATCAATGTTGTCCTGAAATGGAAAAGAAAAGAAGTTAAGGTCTGAAGACATCTGACACAACAGGGGAGAGATACCACTGTCACAGGTCAGGCAAGATCCTAAGTGCCCCTCAGTTTGAGGATGATGGGAATCGGAATATTCTTTCTCGATGCCAAGAAAGGTGGCAGCCGTCACCAGGACTTGCAACCATCCAGCTCTTAGATCCAACTGCTTGTCCCAACAGACACACCAAATTGAGTGCAAAATGGAAAGTCAATGCTTACATAAATCCCATTGATTCAACAGCTTTGCTCTTCTTGGGAGCAGCAAACTGGATTGAGGCCAATGTTTCTATTATCGCTTCCCATCCCATGCTAACAGATGTCCACTTACTGCAAGTAGTACCAAAAAGGCCATTACAGAGTACTCCGATGGTGTTCCCCAGAAACAACAACCAGGAGGTGCCCTAGAGGAGCCGAATGTCTGATGCAAGGTTGTCAGGAATAGCAATATTCATGGAATCAGCTAAATAAAGACCGGAAGGAGCACTGCTGTAGCGGCATTTTGATCAGCCAGGAAAACTGTCATTCTTTAATTCTCCCCTTATGCTTCTTTATCCCCCTTGAACTTTTCTGCAAGCCACAAAATAGCTGGGATCAGGGATGGGACTCTCCCTGACAACAAGATAATGTTGAGCTATCTCTAACTAAAATATTTTTTCTTTTGAATGTGAAACAAAGATCTATTCACTTTGCAAGAGACCAATGTTATCTCTTCCACAGGAGGCTTTTCTTTATAGCAAAATAATATAGTTGCACTATTTACAAAAATAATGTTTCCATAACACAAATAAACAAATGCATAGTAGCTTTACACACAGCAGCCTTCACACTAGAGCTTTCTCACACAAGGCTTCTCCCATACTGAAATTTAGCTCACGCTCCTCAGGATGATGCTAGCTATGGTCCACTGACTCTAGCAGGTTTTGACCTACTCACTCTCCTCAGGACAACACTAGCTTTGGCCCACTGACTCTAACAGGCTTCGGCCTACTCACTCTCCTCAGGACGACACTAGCTTTGGCCCACTGACTCTAACAGGCTTCGGCCTACTCACTCTCCCCAGGACGACACTAGCTTTGGCCCACTGACTCTAACAGTCTTCGGCCTACTCACTCTCCTAAGGACGACACTAGCTTTGGCCCACGGACTCTAACAGTCTTCGGCCTACTCACTCTCCTAAGGACGACACTAGCTTTGGCCCACTGACTCTAACAGTCTTCGGCCTACTCACTCTCCTAAGGACGACACTAGCTTTGGCCCACTGACTCTAACAGTCTTCGGCCTACTCACTCTCCTAAGGACGACACTAGCTTTGGCCCACTGACTCTAACAGTCTTCGGCCTACTCACTCTCCTAAGGACGACACTAGCTTTGGCCCACTGACTCTAACAGGCTTTGGCCTACTCACTCTCCTCAGGACGACACTAGCTTTGGCCCACTGACTCTAACAGGCTTCGGCCTACTCATTCTCCTCAGGACAACACTAGCTTTGGCCCACTGACTCTAACAGGCTTCAGCCTACTCACTCTCCTCAGGACGACACTAGCTTTGGCCCACTGACTCTAACAGGCTTCGGCCTACTCACTCTCCTCAGGACGACACTAGCTTTGGCCCACTGACTCTAACAGGCTTCGGCCTACTCACTCTCCTCAGGACGACACTAGCTTTGGCCCACTGACTCTACAGGCTTCGGCCTACTCACTCTCCTCAGGACGACACTAGCTTTGGCCCACTGACTCTTAACAGGCTTCGGCCTACTCACTCTCAGGACGACACTAGCTTTGGCCCACTAACTCTAACAGGCTTCGGCCTACTCACTCTCCTCAGGACGACACTAGCTTTGGCCCACCTCTAACAGGCTTCGGCCTACTCACTCTCCTCAGGACGACACTAGCTTTGGCTCACTGACTCTAACAGGCTTCGGCCTACTCACTCTCCTCAGGACGACACTAGCTTTGGCCCACTGACTCTAACAGGCTTCGGCCTACTCACTCTCCTCAGGACGACACTAGCTTTGGCTCACTGACTCTAACAGGCTTCGGCCTACTCACTCTCCTCAGGACGACACTAGCTTTGGCCCAATGACCCTAACAGGCTTCGGCCTACTCACTCTCCTCAGGACGACACTAGCTTTGGCCCACTGACCCTAACAGGCTTCGGCCTAGCTTACTCTCCTTAGAATGACACTAGCTTTGGCCCATTAACTCTAACAGGCTTCGGCCAACTCACTTTCCTTAGAACGACACTAGCTTTGGCCCACTGACTATAACAGGCTTCGGCCTACTCACTCTTCTCAGGGCGACACTAGCTTTGGCCCACTGACTCTCACAGGCTTCGGCCTACTCACTTTCCTTAGGACGACACTAGCTTTGGCCCACTGACTCTCACAGGCTTTGGCCTACTCGCTGTCCTCAGGTTGACACTAGCTTTGGCCCACTGACTCTCACAGTCTTTGGCCTACTCTTCTCCTCAGAACGACACTAGCTTTGGCCACTGACTCTAACAGGCTTGGCCTACTCACTCTCCTCAGGACCGACACTAGCTTTGGCCCACTGACTCTAACAGGCTTTGGCCTACTCACTCTCCTCAGGACCACACTAGCTTTGGCCCAATGACCTTAACAGCTTCGGCCTACTCACTCTCCTCAGGACCACACTAGCTTTGGCTCACTGACTCTAACAGGATTCGGCCTACTCACTCTCCTCAGGACGACACTAGCTTTGGCCCAATGACCCTAACAGGCTTCGGCCTACTCACTCTCCTCAGGACGACACTAGCTTTGGCTCACTGACTCTAACAGGCTTCGGCCTACTCACTCTCCTCAGAACGACACTAGCTTTTTCCCACTGACTCTAACAGGCTTGGGCCTACTCACTCTCCTCAGGACGACACTAGCTTTGGCCCAATGACCCTAACAGGCTTCGGCGTACTCACTCTCCTCAGGATGACACTAGCTTTAGCCCAATGACCCTAACAGGCTTCGGCCTACTCACTCTCCTCAGGATGACACTAGCTTTAGCCCAATGACCCTAACAGGCTTCGGCCTACTCACTCTCCTCAGGATGACACTAGCTTTGGCCCACTGACTCTAACAGGCTTTGGCCTACTCACTCTCCTCAGGATGACACTAGCTTTGGCCCACTGACTCTAACAGGCTTTGGCCTACTCACTCTCCTCAGGATGACACTAGCTTTGGCCCACTGACTCTAACAGGCTTTGGCCTACTCACTCTCCTCAGGATGACACTAGCTTTGGCCCACTGACTCTAACAGGCTTTGGCCTACTCACTCTCCTCGGACGACACTAGCTTTGGCCCACTGACTCTAACAGGCTTCGGCCTACTCACTCTCCTCAGGACGACACTAGCTTTGGCCCACTGACTAACAGGCTTCGGCCTACTCACTCTCCTCAGGATGACACTAGCTTTAGCCCAATGACCCTAACAGGCTTCGGCCTACTCACTCTCCTCAGGATGACACTAGCTTTAGCCCAATGACCCTAACAGCCTTCGGCCTACTCACTCTCCTCAGGATGACACTAGCTTTAGCCCAATGACCCTAACAGGCTTCGGCCTACTCACTCTCCTCAGGATGACACTAGCTTTAGCCCAATGACCCTAACAGGCTTCGGCCTACTCACTCTCCTCAGGATGACACTAGCTTTAGCCCAATGACCCTAACAGGCTTCGGCCTACTCACTCTCCTCAGGACGACACTAGCTTTAGCCCAATGACCCTAACAGGCTTCGGCCTACTCACTCTCCTCAGGATGACACTAGCTTTAGCCCAATGACCCTAACAGGCTTCGGCCTACTCACTCTCCTCAGGACGACACTAGCTTTGGCCCACTGACCCTAACAGGCTTCGGCCTACTCACTCTCCCCAGGGCGACACTAGCTTTGTCCCACTGACTCTAAAAGGCTTCGATCTACTAACTCTTTCAGTGCTTGACTCACACTTTTGTAATCAAAATAACAGGCTTCGCCTACTCACTCTCCTCAGGAGGACACTACTTTGGCCCATGACTCTAACAGGCTTCGGCCTACTCACTCCTCAGGGATGACACTAGCTTTGGCCCACTGACTCTAACAGGCTTCGGCCTACTCACTCTCCTCAGGACGACACTAGCTTTGGCCCACTGACTCTAACAGGCTTCGGCCTACTCACTCTCCTCAGGACGACACTAGCTTTGGCCCACTGACTCTAACAGGCTTCGGCCTACTCACTCTCCTCAGGACGACACTAGCTTTGGCGCATTGACTCTAACAGGCTTCGGCCTACTCACTCTCCTCAGGACGACACTAGCTTTGACGCATTGACTCTAACAGGCTTCGGCCTACTCACTCTCCTCAGGACGACACTAGCTTTGGCGCATTGACTCTAACAGGCTTCGGCCTACTCACTCTCCTCAGGACGACACTAGCTTTGGCCCACTGACTCTAACAGGCTTCGGCCTACTCACTCTCCTCAGGACGACACTAGCTTTGGCCCACTGACTCTAACAGGCTTCGGCCTACTCACTCTCCTCAGGATGACACTAGCTTTGGCCCACTGACTCTAACAGGCTTCGGCCTACTCACTCTCCTCAGGACGACACTAGCTTTGGCCCACTGACTCTAACAGGCTTCGGCCTACTCACTCTCCTCAGGATGACACTAGCTTTGGCCCACTGACTCTAACAGGCTTTGGCCTACTCACTCTCCCCAGGATGACACTAGCTTTAGCCCAATGACCCTAACAGCCTTCGGCCTACTCACTCTCCTCAGGACGACACTAGCTTTGGCCCACTGACTCTAATAGGCTTCGGCTTACTCACTCTCCTCAGGATGACACTGGCTTTGGCCCACTGATTCTCACAGAATGTCAGCATTAAGCAGCAGCGGTGAGTCCCGGCGGACCCCAGACTTACTTAGGTGATCCCTTGTTGTCTGAGTAGGATAGTCTTCTAAGATCAGTGTACTGGAGGTGGATCC